TGTGTGTGTGTGTATCAGCTGGATGGCACAGTGGCCTGGAATCAGGAAGACTCATCTTCCTTAGTTCCAATCTGGCCTCAGATACTTCCTAGCTGTGTGATTCTGGACAAGTCACTTAACCCTATTTGCCTCAGTTTCCTCATCTGTAAAATGAGCTGGAAAAGAAAACAGCAAACCATGTCAGTATCTTTGCTAAGAAAACCCCAAATGAGGTCATGAAGAGTCAGACATCATTGAAAAATGACCCAACAACAACTATATACACACACATATTTGCATAAAACAACAAACATATATATGTGTATATATATGTGTGTGTGTGTGATACAGTTAATAGCACTTGATTCTTAAATCCAACTACTCTTTTCTCCTATCCCAACACTTGGATTTTTCATGTGGACCATAAGATCATATCAGTAGAGATTGAGGCATTTGCTCAGTAGCCTGGAGGTGAGTTGGTATTATAAATGGGGGTGAAGCTGGAGGTAATAACTGGTCACTAACCTTAACATAGGGTCGCTTCTCAGCTGCCAGAGAGCAGGAGCAGTGGCTGATCCTTCCCCTTTGTTTATAGAGAGGCAGGATGGTCTAATAGAGACAGCCTAGGGCTACAAGTCAGATACCTGGGCTTCTGGTCACAACTTTGTAATGAATGAAGTATGTGACCTTTGGTAAATCATAGGATCACAAGAACATAGACGGAGAGCTGGAAAGGATGTCAGAGGCCATCTAGTTTAACCCTTATTTTACAAATAAGGAAACTCAGGCCCAGGGAGTTTAAATGATTCGCCCATTGTCACACAGGTGTGAGCATTAGAAGGAGAATTTTAAGCCAGGTCCTTTCACTCAGGTCAGTGCTCCTTCAAATGCCTTAACCTCTGCATTCCTTGGTTTCCTCATTTGTGAAGAATAGCTAATAAATACCTACCTTTCCATCCTTTTACTATTTTTGATGATAAATAAGGGGTAATGATATTAAAGATGTTGAAAAGTTTTAAAACCTATGCAAATCTAGAAGTAGGCAGAGACTGACTAAAATGTTCATACCCTTTGAAGCATAGTGCCTAGGCGTATACCTCAAGGAGGTCGATGATCAAAAAAGGCCCGGTATTTCACAAAATATTTATAGTAGCAAAGAACTAGAAACCAAGTAGATGTTCATTAACTGGGAAATAGCCACACAAACTGTGGTACAAGAATGTAAATGGAACATTCCTGTGCTTGATGAAATGATGAAATGTGACAAATACTGAGGAGCATGGGAAGACTTATAGGAACTGATGCAAAATGAAATAAGTCAGTATATGCAATATGTTATAATATGATGCAATATATTTCAAAACAATCAACTAAGTGCTATGAATTTTGTGTGATCAAACATGGCCCTGAAGAAGAGATAAGAGAGGGTATTACATCCCACTTATTTGCAGAGGTGGGGTACTTTGTGTGTAGAATACTGTATGTAATATAAAAATTTAAAATATCTTGACCAAAATAACTTAGAAGGGAAACTGATTTTGGGACATTTTTTAAAAGTAGTTTAGGCTTAACTCAAATTGTATTTCAGTGAAGTACTGTTCCCTGCTGCAACTGGAAACAGCTTCTCAGATGGGCAGATGTTGTGTGTGTTTTGAGGGAACAAAGTAGCCCCTTCAGTTAGTCCAATAATTTCTTCTGTCTCTGCCTTCCACATTATCGTTCTGCAATGTAACTTATAAATAGAAGCAGGTAGCCACCAATCAGACAAATTATAGCAGAGAGAAAAGTCAGACTGAGAGGCTATGAGGGTATAGGAGACATGGCAAGTCAGTGATTACCACCCTCTATTAAACTCCTCAGTCTTCTTGGCAAGGCCAGAATTTGACATGGGGGACATGATACACAGGTCACCTCGTTTTCCAATTCATATCAGCTGTTCATTGGTTTCCACAAAGCTGCACATCTCAAGTCTCTACTGCGTGAGTCACCTGGTATTTCTGACACATAATTTACAATAACATCTGAGGGAGAACAGCAGGCCAGGGTGGGTGTAAAGTACAGTTAGGGCTCAAATGAGAGACAGATGAAAAGTTTGGTTTTTCTCTTTTGTGAAATTAAATACAATTATTGCCTCCAACATCCTCATTATAATCATGTATTGAGCAGGAGGGAGTAAAGATCAGGAGAAAGATGAATTACCACACGTCATTTTTTAAAAAGCTTTATTATATTAAGGTGTTTTTTTTTAAATGAAAGCAACCCATATGGCTACAATCCCATTGCTCATGCAAAAGAGATTGTTCCTTTTCCTGACTCTTTGCTCTTGCTTTTTTCTTCTCTTTTATTCAGCACATGTATGTAAAAGCTTGGAAGAAGGTGTTTTACTTTTTAATTCTTGAAGGAACATTTCCATTTGTTCAAGAAGCCAGGATCAATTCTGTACTTCACTGGGCTAATGCTGTTATTAAATTTTCATAGGATGTCGTGTTTTGATGGCTGATGCACGTGGAATCTGCTGGCACCCAAGTATAAAAAAGAATTTTGGAAAAGCTTAATTGTATGATTCTCTTCCCCCACCCCCACCCCTTTTTTTTGCCTCCAGCTCATTTCTCAGCAAATGAAAGTGAAATGTCAAAATTGAGAGAAAGGGCATCAGCATGTCTGCCATGATGCCTTTTGCTTTGAAAAGGCACCTGGGAGAAAGAGACCTTCAATTACGCAGTGGAGAATGGAAACTGCTGAGCCAAGTCACATTTTGCTCCTTCTAAACTGAATCCACCAAGAAAACTTGGGATGATTTTAAATAAAAATCTTATCAAATGCTGTAAGGTGGGAAGGAAGAGAGAACAGAGACAGTACTTGCTTTTTTTTCCTTTTGTTTCATCTAGGGAATGTTCTCCTTGAATTTAAATTACAAAGAGCTCAATTAAGACATTTGGAAATATACTGGACTCAATGTCAGTAGACCTGGGTTCTAGACCTTCTGGGTAAAGTAACTATCCCAAATTCACACTGCCAGTTGGTGGCAGAACATGGACCACAGTGTTAGAATATTAGGGTTGGAAAGGATCTCAAAGCTCATACACCTTGAACCTGATTAGGAAATTACCTACAACATCCTCTGCCTTTGTATCTCTGATACATAACATAGTCATCAGCAAGCATTTATTAAACACCTAAGTGGATAGAGTGCCAGGCCGGGAGTCAGGAAGATGAGTCTTCTTGAGTTCAAATCTGGCCTCAGATACTTCCCTGTGACCCTGGGCAAATCATCTAACCCTGTTTGCCTCAGTTGCCTCATTTGTAAAATGAGCTGGAGAAGGAAATGGCAAACCACTCCCGTGTCTTTGCCAAGAAAACCCCAGAGTGGGTCACAAAGAGTCGGACATCATGGAAAAACGACTAAACAACAACAATGTATCAGGCACTGTGCTAAGTGCTAGGGATAAAAAAAAAATTTTTTTAATTTTAAAAAAAGGTAAAAGACAAACAAGTGAACCAAAAACCCAGTCCTTTCTCTCAAGAAGCTCACACTCTAATGGGAAAGACAGCATGAAAACGATTATGTATAATAAACAAGCTATGGGTAGGATAAAATGGAGATAATCAGTTGAGGGAAACCTCTAGCATGCAGAGGTGTCCTGGAGCCAGCTCAAACTGACTCAGGAGAATAAATTGTTAAATTTTCAGCATAAGTATTTACATCTCAGAAATCAGCAAATGCTACAAATCAAGACCTTATTTATTTTTATTGTCTAGACTTTTAGAAACCATGTCATGTGTACATTTTTTGAAGTGGTAGGGAGAGCTGGTTGTTAAACATTTACCAACACACCCCAGATTAAGGTGTTGGAAAAGATTTCTAGCAGAAAGTAGTATTTTAGCTGGGATATGAAGAAAGTCAGAAGACGGGGATTAGGACCGAGAGAATTCCAGGGATAGTGTACAATGAAAATGCACAGAGATAGAAGAGAATCTGAGTGGGTTTTGGAGTGTGTTCTTTCCATTGCATCATGCTTCCCTTCAAGGCTCAGACAGGCTCAGCATTCTAGGCTCAGATTCCTTTTGAGCAAATACTTCTTGGGATCCCAAGTAGCAGCAAAAGGAAAATCTGCCATGAAGGGAGTTTATAGAGAGAATTTATGCAATTAAGGCCCAGGCAAAACAAGAAAACTATTTCCATAGTTGGCATTGGGAAATGGAGTACTTTGTTTGGATTTTCATTAGCATCAACAAATATTAATTCAATTTAATTCAGCAAATATTTGGGAGGTACCTACTATATGAAGAACACTATACTAAGCTCAGGAGGAGATAGAAAGTATAATCAAGACATATTCGCTGTCTTCCATGGTGCTTACAGTCTAGTTGGGAATAGAAATATAACACTTCAATTCTTCATTGGATCTATACTCTCATTAGTGTGGGTATTGCCTCCATTGGTGCAGACTGAAAACAATTCTAACTTTCTCATCCTGTGGAATTCTTTCTCATATTCTCCCATTGATTCTCCATAGATTATACACCCAATATTTGGAGGCCTTCCTAAAGGTCTTTTTACATTTTGTGGAAATCAACGTAGCACTTGGACTGTCCATTTATATTTTCTCAATCTTACAGTGTGACTAGCCAGGATCCTTTTCTAATGATAAATTACTTTGATGGAACATTTCCCTTATGCTGTTTCTTGAGTAAAATCCACCACTGGAGATGGGTTGGTCTATGTGGGCCTAGTATGTGTATCTCCATTGAACTTTGGATCATCCACAATTCATATTTTTTGGAAGAGGGGTTCTCAAACTTGTGATCTCAGGACTCCTTTATACTCTTAAAATTTTTGAGTACCTCCAAAAAGTTCCTGTTTACATGGATTATTGCTATTGACATCTACCATATTATAAATTTAAATGCATTAGCATTATTATAAAAATAATTTTTACCTCAAAGACTCCTTGAAAGGACATCGGAGACTCCCAAGGGTCCTTGGACCATACTTTGAGAACTGCTCCTTTGGAGACTGTGATATTCTGAGATTTGTAACCACACAGCATTAAGGGGGTAATTTGTTGTTGTTGTTAAAATGGGGAGTTTTTGTGCTATATATTTTATGCTATTTTATGCAAATATTTTATGCAATTGTTAAAGACACTGTGCGTCTTCCTGAATGCAGTTCATCCCAGACTATTCAATTCTGGACCCAACTCACTGTCCATCTGCAGTGCCTGTGTCAGGAATATGCACTAATAAACTATCTCACTGTACTGCCTGCGCATCTGGCTACAGACATTTTTCAAACTTATGGATTTTCTATATGTGTTATTATAGTAATTTTTAAAAATATAGGTATCATTGAGCAATCCTTTAATACAAGCAACACAATGTGGTTTACAAGAAGGAGCATTTGGGGATCTCTACTTTGTATAAGGAATTCCTCTCCCATTTGAACCTTGGGTAGGACATCCTCCATGATGGTGGCAAATACCTTTGGTGAACATACAGGCCTGGATCTTCTTTCCTAGAGAAGAGCCATAACAGTTAAGGGTAATGCTATTTTAGAATGCAAACTCATTTGTAAAACACTACAGTAGAGCACTATTATTTTGTGAAATGGCCAAAAAAAAAAAGCAATGGGAATGAAAACAAATATTCAGAAAATTTGACAAGACCTCACTAAAACTCACCATCCCAAGAACATCTATAGATGAAACTGGCTGGAAGACAGTAAACAGAAAGAAAATAGAACATATTTGTTAACATTTTATAGCAATCTATTCTGATTAACAGGAAGAGTGTAGCTGCCATATTTGGACCCTAATGCTTCAGGCCCCAGTGTACAATGCAAAAAGATCAAAATGCCACCTAAAAATCAAAATCAAGAAGAAGGATTAGATGAGACCAAGAACAATCCAAGGAAATTCATGCTGGAGAAGACACAATCTGGAAGAAACTGAAGGACTATATGATAAGGTATCTCACAGAGGGAAAGATACCAACAAAAAGAATGGAAAAAAATCCCATCACCACTCTCTTCCTTAAACGCAACTAGCCTAATATTAAGAATGCATGCGTAGATCCGATTAGATAAGTAACCTGCTCAAAAGTCTTCAATGGCTGGTGTTTACCTGCCGATTGAAATTCAAACTCCTTTATGTGACTTTCAAGGCCCTCCAGTACTGGGGTCACCCTATGTTTACAGCCTCATCTCATACTATACATTGTTATTTCAGTCATGTCCAACCTTTTGTGACCCGATTTTGGGATTTCCTTGGCAAAGATTCTGGAGTATTTTGCCATTTCCTTCTCTAGCTCATTTTACAGATGAGGGAACTGAGGTAAACAGGATTGAGTGACTTGCCCAGGATCACACAGCTAGTAAGTGTCTGAGGCCAGATTTGAACTCATGAAGATGAATCTTTCTGGTTCTAAGCCCAGTGCTCTACCCACTGTGCCACCTAGCTACCATATACTATGACATGATCAGGTTAGGTTCTCACCCATTTCCATCAAGGGCAGCCTTGATCCAGAGAGCGTTCTTCGAGTGGAATGTATTTTAGGCCCTGTATTAGGACCAATTTTTGTGGTGGCCTTATTATGAGGATGGGTAATACATGGAGGAAAACCTCTTACTGGGAACATTTTGTACTGAGGGACAGAGGTTTCCTTTGGTACTAATATGTGACACCATCAGTTGTTGAATTCTGTCAGATCTGTCAGGATGAGTTCTGTGCCGGCTGCGCCGTGCACTCTCCTCCTATAAGGAGCAGGCTGCCAGCGTCATACTTACCAGTCTTCGGTCCTCAACCGGATAAACACAGAGACGAGCCTACCAGGAGGTGCCAACACCTGAGCTTTATTCAGAGGCCATCACAGCAAGGCCAAGCAGGAAGGCCAGAGCAACAGAGCAGGAGCAAAGAGAGCGTGCACTCCTGACCGCGACCGTTCCTAAGTACCTACTTAGCCCCTCCTCCTCAGCCTGCCTACTAGTCAATGATTGTAGGGTCAGATACCGGAAGGGGATGTCTGAGTTTAGTGCACCAAGGGAGAGGAACTGATGCAGGAGGCTAGGACCAGATACAGGAAGGAGGCGTCTGGTATTAGTGCATAGACAAAGAGTACGTGACCTAGGAAGTCAGGCCCAGATACCGGGAGGAGGCGTCTGGGGTCAGTGCTACACAAAGGGAAGGTACGTGACCCAGGAAGTCAGGAAGGACACAGGAAGGAGGCGTCTGGGGTTGACGTTGTATATAGGGAGGGGACTAAGCAAAGGGAACTCATCCTCTGCAGTCCCACTCCCACGTGGCACAGCCCCCTGCCTCAGGAGCATGTGCTCTGCTACTTCCTTGTATCCTGATCCTTCCCCAGCTTATCTCACATAGCACTGCCCACTGCCTCAGGGCTTCTCTGTATCCAGCCCATCCCAGTTCACCACAACTCCACCTACCACAGCCCCTGCCTCGGTTATTTCCAAATACCCAGATCTTACCCCAATCTTGCCACAACCCCCACTTGGCAGTAGCCAACATCAGACAGTCCCTCACAGAGTTCCATCCAAATAGAGGAGAAAGATTCTTCACCAACCCCTTGTCCTGTGCATCTCTGAGTGACTACATTCTGTAGTGACAATAGGCTCTAAATTGGGTGTCTCAATGTCCAGGTGTGTATATCCATTGAGCAATGCCTCATAAATGGCATTTTGTGTGAGAGTAATCCAGCATAATTATGACTATATTATGAGTCATACTAATGATGCTTAAATGTTTTATATTATGGAATGCTTTAGTAGCTTATCATTCTTAGAAAAATCTCACTAGCCAATGTCCTCAGGCAGAGTCAGTTGCCCTTTTCGCACTTCTACATTTTTGAGTTTGGCTAAGTAGAGCGAGATAGAGGAACACCCCCCCATCCCCCAAGTATACTGTCATCATAGGAGGATGACCCAACAAGTTCTAATTCTCCTCCCAGTACCAGGAAGAGGATTAGTCTTACCTGTATGTGGAAGAGGCAGTTTATATGGTATGATTTGAGAGGAAGGGTCTCAGAAAAAATACCCCTACCTCTAGTTCTGCCACAATAATATATGAAATGTCTACAAAGCCACTATTAAACAGCTAGGCACTGAAGACCCCTGCTAAAACATAAGTGTTACCCAAAGCCCTGATAAAAAAAAATTGGAAATATAACAAGTAAATGTTAGCAGAGCAAAGATTCTCAGGAAAGGTTGGAAACTTGGAAAAAACAGGTTAGAGTGGGGTCGACCGGGTTTAGGGTGGGTCTATAGAAGACTGAATTGTTATACAAAAGGAAGACAGTGTGGGGGTAGTCTGTGGATTCTTGTACTAGTCCTGCTCTGAGACTTGTGCCTTTGCTCTCACCCCATCTTATCTTCTTCAGGTCATTCCTTCTGCCTCATCTTCAATGTCTCCATTTTTGCCAGCTCTTTCACCACTGTGTACATTCTAAACTCTAGTCCATCCTTTAAAGTTAAACAAAAACAAAACAAAACAAAACTTTTCTTTAACCATACCATCTAATCAAACTCTCATCCTAAACCTCTCTTTATTTTCACAGTCAAAGCCCTAGAAGGAATCCTCTAACATCACTGCTTCTACTTCTTTATACCTTATTTCTCACCCTTTGCTATCTGACTTTGAACCATCACTCAAATGAACTTAGTGATACTATTGGTCTCCATCTCCTAGACACTCGCTCTAACTTTCATTTTCAGGACAATATTCTCTCATTTGTCTTTCCAGTCTTCTTCTCTTAAGTCTATTTTTGGGGGTTGTTGGTAATGACTTTCCTAGTGCTCCCAAACCATACCACAGAGCATCTGTCTGCCAATCTTTCCTCTTCATAGCTAGGAGGCTAGTCCTTCTCAAGAATCATGGGCAAATCCAGTGCAGCATGAAGACATCAAAGGTCTGAAAGCAGAGAAGTCATATCATTTTGAGAAGGAAGGGAGGAGGGGGAAAAGAGAAAGAGGAGAAGTGGAAAGGGAAGAGTGTCAGAAACAAATTTCATCAACTTCCAATTTCCCCCAAAGTGAATCTTGTGTTTTATAACTCCTATTGGAGTTTCACTTATGAATGGCTAATTTGGCATAATGGGTTTCTTTTTTAAAGGATTTTTTTGAACCTCTGAGCTTCTGTGTCTTATTCCTATCTTCACATCCCTTAATCTGACCCCCTGCAGGGAGTCTGTCAAAGAAAGCTATAGTTTTCTGCCTTAAACAAAGGAGAACTTTACACCATGTAAGAAAGCTATCTGGGGTTGTATGTAGCCAAGACTGGCTACCAGGCCTGATTATTTCTTTAAAAAGTAAAAGAAAAGCTCTCTCTCTCTGCTTCTGTGCTAAGCCAGACTTCCTTTTTGAATGCTTAGCATAAGTTCAATAAGGACTGCTAGAATATGAAATGACATTTCTAGGACATGCTGTCATCTTAACTGATTTTTGCTTAACAACATTAGTAATTCTTATTGCTGCTACTTCTTTTTATCATGATGAGCACTTTGAATGGATTTAAGTGGTCAAAATTTTTCTGATGCAGAGTGTCCCAAGTGGTAATGCAGAGCTGCAACTGACTGAGGTTCTTTTCTAGGCTGACTAGGTCAAATCTCTGAGCAAGACTGGGCTTATAAGAAGGTGAAATAGGTAGTCACAGGTGGCATGATTCCAGGAGCCCAATGAGTTCATAGATTGTAAAATCATAATATCATAGATCTGAAACTGGAAGGGACCTTAGAGGTCTTCAAGTCTGGAGCCCACATTTTATAGGTTAGGAAACTGAGACTCAGAGAGTCTGACTTGCTCATAGACAGTATCTGAGGAAGGATCCAGTCTCCAAATCTAGCTCTTCATTTATTGTTCCATGCTGTCTCTGAGAAGTAAAATCATAGGATATAAGGATTGGTACAGATCCAGAATTGAAAACGAATTCACAGTGCAATACCCCTGACAAGGCTGAGGAAACTCCTTCCACTTTTTGACAGTTCTAATCTTGTGTTCAAATATCTCTCCCCAAATCTCAATTTAATAAACATTTATTAAGTGCTAGGCACTGGAGATACAAAAACAAAAATGAAATAGCCCCTGTCCTCAAGGAGCTTACATTCTATTGGGGATACATCATGTTTATAAATAAATATAGTCCAAGGAAAAGGAGAACAATAAAAATTGGAGCAGGGGAGAGGATCAGGGAAGCTTTAAGGAGGAGGTGACATTTAAACTGAGCTTTGAAGGAAAGAATTGTGAGTGGTGGAGATGAAGAGGGCATGCATTCCAGGACTGGAAAACAGCCTGGTGATGATACCTAAAATTCAAAATTCAAGACTTGGTTTAAAGCATCTATAATGTCCCTCTTTGCTCTAAATCCTATGAAACTATTAATTGTTCTGTACATCTTTCCCTCCTTCTTGCTACCTGCTGTGCCATCTTGGAGAGAACTCCACCCTAGGTTTACAAAGGTCTCATTCTCTTTATTGGTCTCACTCACCTGCCTAAGATACTATTTCAGG